GCATGAACGGAGGGGGGTATGCTCTAGTAAAAAAATCGCTTTTTTTTACTTTTCTCTATGATGAATCAGAATTTTATAAAAAAATCAATTAGGGCCGACAAGCTCATTGTTGTTTTAGTGGATTAACACTCCCATGTAGCAAGAAATCATTCTGGCATAGTACAGTTTTCAATAGCTGTGGGGCTTTAGTACGAAGAAGAAACCAATCAGTTATAGGTATATCCATGATATATCCTAGCACATACAAAATGGCGATAGATGTAGATGACGCAAACTCAAGGAGTGGGATTCAACCTGAGGCTTCCAGAAATTGTTCTCTGTTTTGAATTAAGGTAATTTTCTCAACAAAAGAAAATGAAAAATTTGAGTCATGCAAGACCAAAACTCAGAAAAAGGTTTCGAAAAATTCTGTTCATCAATGCATGAAGGACCTCTAGATGCTTTTTCACTATAAGAAGTGTTCTGCCTTCTAGCAACAATAAGCACGTCACCACAGGATGATTCTTTTTAGAGATGATGCAGAATAAAATTTTGCTTACGTATTCCATTTTTTATCGGATCAGATCAAAATCCTGAGTCATGAGCACTACCAAAACAAGTTGTTCTCAACGACATTAACGTTGCGTTACTTTGAAACTTTGTTTTTAGTATATCCTCAGATAATACATCAATTTTGTTGACAGCTTGAAACGCACATATAGTTAATCGGCTTTCCTTTATTGTTCAGAGTTACACAAGCGGTCTTCAAATGAATCGTGTATGTGTATGTCAAGTAATGCGGATGCGGTGGTGCTGCTTTTCGATGATATTGTGAGCACAGATTTGAATTTTGTTCTGAAAGAAAGATTTCTTTGGAACACGAAATTTTGTCTACATTTTAGAGCATTGAATTGGCCATTAATGTTAGGTATGTGCGTTAAGGGGGCAGTAATGGGATGCATATAACAGCTGCTGTTGCACAGTCTATTTTAAGTTAACTGGCAATGCCCATTGACATTAATATACAGAAAATTTGTAGAGAGAATTCTATTGGCAAGAGTGCATGTCTGTGCTGATAAGAAGGTTTACTGCTACCATACACATCATAGTGTTTTGTTTGAAAGACCGTTTGTTGTTAATTTGTGGTAGTTCTAGTTGAAACAGTAGCAAATCCACCTACTATCTGTTCAACGGCAACTTGGTCTCGAAATGCTGTCACCGTTGCAGGAGGTAAGGAAAGCGGTACAGCATTAAATCAACTGAGCTGGCCAAGTGATATCTTTGTGGATGATGACCGCAACGTATTCGTTGCCGATTTACACAATTTCCGCATCGTCAAATATTTGCAGGGAGAAACAACTGGGCAACTGATCCTCAGCGGCCGCTCATTTTCGCCTGTAGCTTTGTTTGTCGATCAGAATAAAAACCTTTATGTTTCTGACACTAGTACCCACAGCGTGAAAAGGTGGGCCGAGGGAGTGACGGATGGTGGTGAGTTAATTCTTGATAATCGTACAAATCAGTTCGTGGTACCTTATGGGATTTATGTTGACAAAAGCGGCATTCTCTACACATCAGACTGGCAACAGCATCAAGTGTTAAAATGGAATTTGAGTGATTCAAGTAGGAGTTCTGTTGTCGCAGGCGGCCACGGTAACGGCTCTGCTTCAAACCAATTGAACGAACCAGGGGGAATATGGGTGAATGAAGCCGACGAGACCGTTTATATAGCTGATACTGAAAATCATCGTATTCAAAGATGGTCACCAAGCTCATCGACGGGTGTCACAGTAGCTGGAGGTAATAAAAATGGAACGAATTTGAACCAGTTAATAGAACCATCATCGGTCACTATTGATGGCAGCGGCAATGTCTATGTGAGTGATATAGAAAATCATCGTGTGATGCAGTGGCCGGTTGGAAGTAAGGAAGGACGAATAATTGCCGGCACTACTGGTAGCGCAGGAACTGGCCCCGATCAACTGAACCTTCCAGACGGTATACAGTTCGATAAAATGGGTAATTTATATGTGGCTGATCTTGCAAATGGGCGGGTACAAATGTTTACAATTATTGGTAATGACTGTAACGGTGGTAAGTCTCACTTATAATAATCAAAATCTAAAATGAATTCCTTGAAATGATTACATAGTACTAACTTGATACCATCTTCATACCTGCGTAGGATGACATCAGTGTGTCTGTTCTAGGAACCCGATCCTCCATCGTACCATTTGCCATACTCGTCATATGTTTGTAAGTACATGCAGTAATCTGCAGTTGAATCAGAGAATCGTAGTACTTTGACGTCAATCTAGAAGGCCAATAAGCGTCACGATCCTATTTCGATTAAAGCACTAGAAAATCATAATCATGATATGCAAGAAGTATTTTTATATTTTTAGTTTGGTCTTGACAGCAAACCGAATACATTTATATACAGTTAACTTAGAAATTCTATAATTAATAATCCGATCAACGAGTCCAATTTGTTCTTATTTTTTACGATAATAAAAAGGCTGCTGCATTGGAAAATATGAACTACTCTCTGCGGTCAAATCAGTTTATTACTTCAATACATAAAGTTTACGGAAATTTATATTTTTTTGGATAACTCATTGTTGAGAGAATGGTAAGGGTAATGTGACGTTCAGCCTCATTCCGACAACAGAAGACGAATTCGAAAGAGAAAGACTGCGCCTAGTTTAATGGACTAGACATACGAGCCTTGTTCGAGGGGTGGGAGAGAAATCAAAAAACCGCTATAATGCTACTCCAACGAAAAAAATGCCTATACCAAGAGAATATTCTATTTCTTTATGGAAACTTTTTCCCTACGTCACGGGAATAATGGATTTACACATAGATTTTTAGAGTGCACAACTATAAAAAAAAATAAATAAAATAAAAATATATAATTCGAAATATAATTCTTCGGCGCGGGAGAATACCTGCTTATTGCCCTTGATATTTTTTTCCAGGAGGAGCAATTGCCTCCAACTGCCCTGCTGGCGGCCCGCCAATGTATCGGTTCATAGTGAGTTTCTGGCCTAGTACAGGAGGATTATGCGCTATCCATTAAGAAGAGATAAAAATTCTCGTGATAACAGCATAGTATCTTGTAGATCATGCATAATTCTCACCGAACAGAGCATAATTCTCGTGCAAATGCATTATTCGCGTGATCTAGACAAAAACGTTTCTATGAAGGCATACAAAATTCTCGTGAAGAGAGCATAATATCTTCCGGATTAGACATGCACCTGGTCATAGACGGCGGTATAAAACTTCAAAGAATAAAGGTTTTTTCCTAAATTTTATCCAAAACATTGGTCACAATGGGAGCAACTTTTTTCAAAATGATCGATTACTGAGAAAATTTTAGAACCTGCCCTCGTGTCGCCCTCGTATCGAATATACTAATATAGCTGATATTTTATTGAGTAACCAAGATAAAAATTCATCATGACAACCATCTATAAACTGTAATTCACCTACAGAGTTCTAATCCGAATATGATCATTTGAGTAACACATAACAAATGAAACAAATTTACTCAAATCTGAGAATAGAGTTAGATAACTGAAGATAAACCCTTCCTAACACAAGTACATATCAGCCTTATACAGCGCCATTCATGTTAAAGGAACGAAAGAATCTGGATCATGGTACACTTGACATACCACTGCTTTAAGGATATCTATCGGCTCGGAAATTGGATTCTTATGAATTCTGTCTGTAATTCTGTGTAGATTATTATACTTTGTTTGTGATTTCCTTTGAATAAATTGAGATCATCTAAACAAGTATAGCAGAGTCATTGCCATATGATGAGACCATTAAGCAAGGTCAAAATATGGATCATGGTAAGCTTGACACCCTCTGAAAGTAGCCAAAAACATGGAATATAAATCATTCTCACTCTCACCTTCACATCCTCAAGACTTACTTTGCTTTTCCGGTTCTTTTTTCAATAAACTTATCTATTTTTCTCAATTGCAATGCAAATACCTGAGGAGTACTCAAATATTTAAATAAAGCATACGAAACGTGTGGGCGAACTTAAACTCTGCATTTAATTAACTATTCTAAATGAAGCATATTATTTAAAATTTCTTTGAAATT